CAGGCACTGTTCCTGGCTGCTTTGCTTCTTTCATCTTGCCTGGTCTCCCCCACGCCCTGAACTCCTCCCCATCAAAAAGTTTTCCAAGACCTGACATACCTACTGAACTCACCAGGTCCTTTAAACACTGCTGTTTTAATAAATACCAAATGCATCATCAGTGCCCAGTGCTGGGATGGACACCAGTCTCAGAGCGGGGAAACAGGGTACCTGCCTTCAAAGGAGCAACCGTGGCACAGGCAACACAGCCAAGACCCCTCCTCTCTGCCATTCATCCTCCTTATGGACGCAGGACACATTCCAAACCTGCTGTAGGGAGAACCCAACCCATGGGGTTCCACAACACCCCTGAAGACTGGCCCAGCGTAACACTCTAGCCCCCAAGACCTCTTCTAACTTCCCCCTTATGGGTCTCATGTTTAAAAGGCTGTCTGTCAAACTGTTGTTACCAAGTAATAATTACTGTCTTCATTTCTGACTAATCAGACATGCACCACCACCAATCAGCATGGGAGACCATGGGCAGCTGCCCTTCCAAGGCACCTCGATCCCCAGCAAAAGCAAAGAAGGGGTCTGGCTTCCTGAGCCTTGGGCAGCCTGAGTAGAGCAATGACACATGGCATGGGGCTCCTTAAAGTACTGACGTTTGCTCTCACCTGTGCACTGGGGTAGGACCCACCGCTCCTACGATGGTGACCATACCAGAGACTGAAGATCCACCTTCTAGCTCCAGCTCTAATGCTCTAGTACTTTAAGGAGCTCTAATGCTCTGGCCAAATCACTGAACCTTCACGGATCTGAGCAGGATTAACCCTTGCTCTCTGCTTGCAGGGGCGGTTATAAGGACCAAGTAAGAAAAGCTACCGGAAAAAGCCAACTAACTGCCTTTGCTGTTGGAATAGCCAGAGTTACTATGAGTTTCCACATTGGTAAAACGAGACTAGTAATATTAATAGTTTCTAGGTCATCAACTTGTTGTGAGCATTAAATCAGATAATAATTGTAAAACAGTTCCTGGCTTAACCAATATTACCCCAATAAATTTAATTAACTAAAAAAATAAAGATGATAGAAGAATTATTACAAGATAAAAAAAAAGAAACAGTTCCTGGCATTTTTCAAGGACTCAAAAAGATGAGTCTATTACATAACTGCTACTACTATTATTGCTGCCGCTGTTAATGACACTACTATCACGAGTACTATTATATCTTGCTTCCTGGCTCAGGGACTCACAGACAAGTAGAGCACTCTTAGAGTACAAGAAGTCTTCTTAAAGGGGATGTCAACTGAAACTGATATGATATTGAATGTCAACTGGAATTGAAAACAAATTTTTTAAAGGGGGGAAGTACCAGCATCACCTACTCTGGAATTGGGAAAACCGGGAATAGATTCCTCCTATATTGGGTCCCTAGTTAATCCACAGTTGAACTCAAACTGCAGAAACCAAAAGTCAAATCCACCTGTCTTACCTCAATGTTTTCTGCTTCAAGTAATGGACTCTAGATAGAGTATTCAAGCATCTGCTAAATATCAGGAGCCACTGATACATCCTGAAAACCTCACACACCTTTCCAGTCCAAGGACCCACTGGGGAAAATAAAATCAGCTTCGCCGATGCTTTGTCCCTCTAACTGAGCCATATTAGAGAATCCACCCCCACACACACACAAAAAACAAAAACAACAACAACAACAACAAATCAGAAATGCTTATGGCAAATCCAAGAAAGCAGACTGACGCAAAACATTTTTTTATGCGAGGAAAAGAAGAATAATTACTCCCAAACCCTGAAGTGTCTCTCAAGAACTTGTGACAGAAGGAGGTAGAAAATACAATCAGCTGCCAGAGGGTCCCAGCCTCCCACATGGCTTGCCTTCCATGGCAGGGGCACTGTCACGCACTGCTTTTCCCTTGGCCTCGGAGGACTCGGCCAAGGCTCTGGGGGCAGGAAACCGGGGCCTGCCTGAAGGGTAGCCACAACGGACTTCCACAGAAGAGTTGGCAAAAGAGGTGAAGGGCAGGAGGCTGTGACAATGGCCCAGGATCCTACCCACCCCTCAGATCCCCCAGCTCAAGGTTTTCCCTAGAACTTCATGGAAAAGACAGAAACCATCAAACAGGAGCACCCACCTCTCCCCTCACCAAACCTATCAACCTCCTTGCATCAGCTCTGACACCTGCAGTCCTTCCTCCCATCAATGGATGATGTGCCCTGCTGCCGTCTGAGACCAGTGAGACAATGCTTTGGGTCTCTTCCCTCTCACCTCTCAGAAACACTGCTCCAGCAACTGTCCTGTCTCTTTCCTGCATCATCTATGTCTCCCACTCTACCAGATCATTCCCATCAGAATAAATCATGCTCTATAATCTCCCGTAATCTCTCCCTCAAACCCACAACCTCTTCAGTTCTCAGCTAATTTCTCGGGTCCACATTAAAACTGCCTGAAAGACTCACCCAAACTTACTGACTCCATTTCTTCACTCCGTATTTTCTCTTCCACCTACTCCAGCCTGGTTTTGTCCTTTAGGCTCCTGGACCCCCTCATTCTCCCAGGTTTTCTCAGTCCTTCTTGGTCTCCTTTGCCGGATCTGCCTCTTTCCCCAACCTCTAAATGCTGCTATGTCCCAAGGCTTAGGGCATCTATTCTTTCCTGTGTACACTCTCCTCCTAGGCAATTTCATCTAATCCTGTGGCCTATACAGTATAATAACCAAGTGCATCTCTTCAGTCCTCTCTCATAACTTCATACATCTGACTGGTTGATATATTCACATCTCAAACGTAACATGGCAAAACAATATCTCACGCTCTCTCCCACCCCAAACCTGCTCCTGCCCCCATTGCAATGATGTGAGCACCATCCACACAGATGCTCAAGATTCTAGGAGTCACCTTTGTTTCTTTTCTTTCTCCCAAAGACTGCATCCAAATCATCAAGCCCGAATCTCACCACTCCACTCCACCCCCATGCTACCAGCCTCAATCTAACCATCATTAACTCCTGCCTGGACTACACCAACAGCCTCCTACTGCTGTCCTGCCCACTACAGCTCCTCACCCACAGCCCATTCTACAGCAGATAGTGATCTTCCTAACGCTGCAAATCAAATTGTTGCTCTCCTGCTTAAAACTCGCCAGTGACATTTCACTAGACTTAGAACAAATTTTAAAAACTCCTAACCTTGGCTCACAAAGCTTTACACTATTTAGCTCTCTCCTATCCGTGACCGCTTCTCATGCCACTTTCTCCCTTGTTCACCACGTTCCAGCCACACTGGCCTTTCTGCTCCTTGAACTTGAAGCTCTTTCTTGCCTTAAAGCCTTTGCACTGGCTGGTCTCTCTTCCACAAATGCTTTCCCACCTCCTCAACACAGGGATGGATTTTTTTGTCATTCATGTTTTACCTTAAATGTCACCTATTCAGAAACAGCACCACTGACCTCCCAATCCAACCAAGCCACCCAGTCACTTAATATCACATCACCTTATTTTAATTGTCTGCATAGTAGTTACCACTCACTCTCTGATATTAGTGTTTATTATAATATGGTACTTATTTTCTGCTCCCTCCCTTCCCCCAGTAGATTGCTTGAGCTTCAGGACCTCATCTGCCTCATTCACTTCTGTAGTTCCAATGCCCAGAACAATGCATGGTACACAGGAGAAATCTAGTAAATATAGATGGATACAGTTATGAGCCAGAGAGGCCCACTGACTGAGAGCTTTTGATGATCCCAGCCAGCTCCCCAACTTCACACACACACACACACACACACACACACAGCAGGACAGTAGGACAACAGCCACAGTCCTACTGCTCACTTCTATAAAGCTCATCCATTAGGATTTCACCCATCCTGCAAGAGCCAACGTGGGAGGGAGACTCAGGGATTTTATACGACCATTTGAGCTTCTAGTATGCTGCTCTACTGCCGGCTGGCAGTGTTTTCAACTTGGTGAAGAAAGAATTTCTGACTCAGTCCCCAAACCCACACTTAGTCATATTCAGACCACCGTCCAGACCTTTAGCTACCTTATTCGGTGAACAAACATTTACCGAGTGCCTACTCTGCGCCAGGCACTGACTGGGGCAAAGGATGAAAAGCAGTTTCTGACCGCATGGAGCTCACAGGCGAGCGGGCAGAGGGAGAAAACGCTGTTAACACAGGTAGACGCCAGGAGTGGGGAAGTGAAGACTATACTCGAGTCTCTGAACGGCGCCTTCATTTCATTTCTATAGACCCAGGTCTGGGAATAAGTTGGCTTGTGGGACGAGGCTCCCGGGCTTTTGCGGAAAAACTGCCACTTGACTAAGCGGAGGCAGGAGCAATTGTCCCCGCTCAGCACCAGTTAAAGAGACGCAGAAGAGTTCCAGGAATATTACTGGCTGATTGGTTCCCCTCCACCCCCCCTACCCCGTCAGGCCCGCGCTGTGGAGGGGCGGAGTGGGGTGCGTTTCCGACTCTCCACTACCATCCCAGAGAACACAGTCGAAAGGAAAGGCCTCCCCAAACGAGAATCCCTTCATCCCTTTCTCCCCTCCCGACCCTCCTCACCTCCAGTCCCCAGACCTCGGACGGAGCTCCTAATCTACTGTCCCCACCCCCGCCCATCCCGGTCTGGGCACCCGCCCGGCTCCGCGCAGCCGGAGCCCCCAAAGAGGAGGCGTGTCTCGCCCCTCACACCAAAGACCGAAGCCAGCCGAACTGCCGGGTCCCGGGCGCAGTATGCAGCCCCGACCCCCGCGGCAGGCCGGACCCGGGGGACCCCAGCCCTGGTTCTCCAGCGGAGATGCGGACCCCACCCCACCTCCCGCCTGCAGCCCGCCACACGACTCGGGCACATAAAACCCTACACGTCTGCGGCCGCGGCGCTGTGCGCGCCAACTCTCCCCTCGACCCGCGCGGGAAGAGGGGCCGCGCGCGCGCGCGGCGGGAACCGGGTGGGACCCCGTAGCACAGGTGTGAGCGCGGCGGCGCCTCGGTCACTCACTTGATGAAGTAGCTGGCGCCCTCCTCCGTGAAGCCTTCCTCCCAGCCGCGGGGCAGGTCTGCGGAAACGCGAGAAAAGTCGGGTAAAACTTGGGCAGTCCAGGCGCGCGCCCCCCAGGCGCTCCACCCCACCGGCCTGGAGCCCACCTGAGCGAATCATGTGGCCGGAGTTGACGGGCTCCCCAGTGCGTGGGTGCAGCCAGGTCGTGCAGCGGAGGTGGTCACTGCGGAGAAAGAGGTGCACCTGTTAGCGCCGCTGCCTCCCGGGGGGGCGCCCGCGCGGCCCCGCACCCCTGCCCTGCACCCCCCCCCCAAGAGGCCCCGCATTCCTGCGCCGCACTTGATGAAGAAGACGCGGCCGTCCCGGCACACGCCGTAGGACCAGTGCTCAGGTAAAGTGTCCCGCCCGATCGCCGCCGCCGCCATGTTCGCCGAGCTCGGAGCCGCCGCGGGCGCCGCGGGGCGGGGGAGAGAGGGCGGAGGCGGGGGAGGAGGTGGTGCGGGCGGCGGGCCTGCGGGCTCAGCCTGCGCGGGCCCAGGCGGCACCCAAGGGCGCTCCATCGCTGTGCGGGCTCCTCGGAGCGCGGACTCACGGCCAGATCCTGGGTGTGCGGAGCCCCGGCCCGGCCGCGGAAGTTCGCCGCCGCACCCGCCGGCCAGAGCGCGGTGGCCGCGGCCTTTGTCCCCGCGCCTTCCCCGCCCCCAGCCCGCCGCACGCCCCTTTGCCCCTGAGGCGGGAGACCCGGGCGGGGCTGGGGCCCGTTGTCCAGGCGTCGGGGACAAACTCCGAAAACAGGGTGCACCCCGAATGGTCCAGTAAACCCCACCCGATCCCTACTACAGAACTTCTCTCTCCAGGAATTGTACTTTCTGAACCATATAAACCTAAACAGGTTATTTCCATATTCCGAGCCTCTGTTTCTTCCACTGTAAAATAAAGTTAATAATAAATATTACACAGGATTGTCGTGTAGATTAAATGAAGTGACAATGATGTGAAATGCTTAACTGGACCTGGAACACGTAGTAGGTGCTCTATTAATATGATTTCATTTACCTCAAGTTTGCAGCTGGCATGTGAAGCAGAAGGTGCAAGTCCTTCCCTCCCTCCCCGCCTCACACCCCCCTCCCAACACACACACACACACACACACACACACACACACACACACACAGGGCCCTGAAGTCGCAGGCGTCACAGGCATCTCCTGTCAAGTGACAGAAAGAGGTACTGAGCGCTGGACTGCATCTCTTCCATCCTTAGAAGAGCAGACCTGGTGGGCCCTAGAAAGCGGGCCCTGGAAAGTTCTTTACATGGCTGGCGCTGTCTTACATTCAGGTCTCAGCTCTAATCTCAGCTCCTGAGGGATCCCTCTCCCTGACCCCTCTGTCCCCTCCTTCCCTTCACTAGCTATTCTATTACTTGTGTACATTTAATTGACATTCTTATCTGTGTGTTTGTTTGTTGCCTTGTTTATTGCATATTAGCCCCTTGCCCCCACTAAAATGTCAGCTGGATGAGAGGAGGGGCCTTGGCTTGTCTCATACACTGCCGTATCCCCAGTGCCTGGAACAGTGCCTGACGCATGTATGCTGAATGAGCGTCTGACACACACTCCACCCTGACACCCCTGCACAATGAGCAGGGGCAGAGAGGAAGCTGGACTCTGGGAGGTGTGAGGCCCAGCCTTGGAGGGACATAGGCTATAGTTTGGTGGGATGAGGCTCACATGAAAGTGAGACTGTAGGCAACGTGGGCACTGGTTAATCAGAAAGGTACCCAGACAGGTGGAATTCGGCTAGACCCTGAAGGACTGCTCAGGTTTGCCTGGGAAGAGAGCACTCCCGATGGAAGGGGTAGGAGAGAAACAGGGTTGTGGGTGGGCTGTGGGATGCTGAGGAGACTATATAGGCACCCTTTCTTGGAAACAGTGATAGTGGGGGAGGAGGCTGATATGAGTTAGAGGGAATTGGTGTGATTGTGGAAGAGGACCCAAAATACCTATCGGAGAGGGCCTCCTGCCTTTGAGGAGGTTCTTGAGCAAATGACAATGGAAAAATAGTGTTTTTATTGTTAAACATTAATTTAAAATAATACATTAAGTGGGCAAAGGTCATGAATACAGAGTTCACATAAAAGTAATATAAGTGGCTTTTAAACAAATGAAAAAGACATTCAGCCACTTTGTAACAGGGCAAAGGCAGATTAAAATTGAGGTCAGATACTATTTTTTAGATATCAAATTGGCAAAAAAGCTCATTGTAGAGAAGGCCATTCCTGTTTATTGTTGGTGGGACTATAAGATGGTTGTCTCCTTGAAGAGGTAATAGCTATTAGAATTTAAATACAGGGCCGGCCAAGTGGCGCGATGGTTAAGAGCTGGCTTGGGACGCCAGAGGGCCCCGGTTCGGATCCCACATATGAGGGCCAGTGACACTGCCCTCCACAGCTAAGATGCTGAACAACAGCTCAACCTGGAACTGGGCTGCCATGAGTCGCCGGCGACAGCATAGGCTGTAGCCCCTGTGGCAGTGGGTTGCCATGGGCTACTGTGTGTAGCCAGCAGCCAGCGTGAGGGGCCAGCAGCCGCAGTGAGCGGCCGTCCAGAAGCCGGCGACTGATCTGCCTCGCCAGAGAAGAGCGCAATGATGGTGCCAACTTGGGCCAGTGAAGCAACGTCCTCCACAACTAGACTGAAGAACAAAACAACAGCAACTTGTCTGTTCCCCTTTCCCCAACTCCCCAGCGCTGTTCCCATCCCCCAATTCCCCAATAAAAATCTTAAAAAAAAAATACATACACCTTTTGACCTAGCAATTCCACTACTAGAAATGTATCCTATATTAGTGCCAACGCAAGGTCACAAAGGCCTGTGTACTAGGAAATTCATTACAGCATTGTCAATAGTTACAAGAGGCTAGAAACGACCTAAGTGTTTATCAAAAAAGAACAAGTGTGTAGGGTGATGGGTATTAATTAGACTTATCGTGGTGACATTTCACAATATATGCAAATATTGAATCATTATGTTATACACCTGAAACTAATATGTTATATGTCAATTGTACCTCAATTTTTTGAAAAGGAACAGGTTACATTATGTCGTACTACAATGGGATGCTATGCTGCTGTTAAAAAGAATGAGATAGATCTCTATGTACTGCTATGGAATGGTCTCTAAGATATTAAATGAAAGATGCAGAACTGTGTATATGGTATGCTACAATATTTTTTTTTTTTAGCTGAGCCATCCTGCCACCTGTTGGCAGCTCAGCTTGGGCTGGGAATCGAACCGCTATTGCTCAGACATTGCACTCTTGAGCGAGCTCTTAACCAACCGAGCCACTCGCCGGCCCTATGCTACAATATTAATATATAGGGAGCATCATGGTTGAATAAGATATGCCTTGTTTGTGTCCCCGCCTCAACAACAACTGTGGGATCCAGCACCATATGCTAAGAAACCCAGGAGGAGTTTTACCCATGCGTGCATCAGGCAATAGGCATACAGACCTTGATCCTGTCTGTAAACACTGCAGTGGCCCAAGAACTGACTTTAGCCCATCTTGGCTACAGTGGAGGAGCCCCCAGAAAACACTGTCTTAGACAGTTGCGCACAGGTGAGGGAGTCTTTGTGGAAGTCCAGGTTTCCAGCAGAGAAGTTCAAGCACATCACTGGAGCAAAACATACAAGTTTGGACACATTGGAGGTGGCAGTTAGTAAAGACTACAGGAGGTGACTGCTATTTCAAAATGTGAAGACAGCAACATAAAACTTCAAGAACATGAAAAAGTAACAAAACACAACACCATCAAAGGATTACACTAATCTTCTAGTAACCAATTCCAAAGAGATGGAGATGTGTGATTTACCTGATACACAATTCAAAACAGCTGTGTAAGGAAACTCAATGAGCTATAAGAAAATACAGAAAGACAATTCATTGAAATCAGGAAAACAATACATGAACAAAATAAGTTTAATAAAGAGAGAAATCATAAAGAACCAAACATTCAGGAGCTGAAGAATACAATGAATGAAATATAAAGTGCAATAGAGAGCATCAACAGCAGAATAAATCAGCAGAAGAATCTGTGGGGTAGAAGATAGGAACTTTGAAATTACCCAGTCAGAGGAGAACAAAGAAAAAAGAAAGAAAAAGAGTGAAGAAACCCTACACAATCTATGGGATACCACCAAAATAAATAATTTGTGAATTATTGGAGCTCCAGAGGGAGAAGGGGGCAGACAGTTTATTTAAAGAAATGTGGACCAGCGGAGTGGCTCAGCTGGTTAACAGCTCACTTGGGAGCGCCAGCTCTGAACAGCAGGGCTGCAGTTCGGATCCCACATTGAGGGCCAGTGATGCTGCCCTCTACAGCTAAGATGATGAACAACAGCTCAACCTGGAGCTGGGCTGCTGTGAGCTACATGAATGGCTGGCAGCCAGCATGAGCGGCTGGTAGCGGGCAAGAGCCGCCGTGAGAGGCCGACCAATGACCAGCGACCAATTACCTCACCCAGGAAGAGTGCAATGATCATACCAACATGAGCCAGTGAAGCGACATCCTCCACAACTAGACTGAAGAACAAAACAGCAATTTGTCTACCTGTCTGTTCCCCTTCCCCGATTCTCCAATGCTGTTCCCCTCCCCCAATTCCCCAATAAAATCTTTAAAAAAAGAAAAAAGAAAAAAGAAATGATAGCTGAGCCGGCTGGGTGGCTCAACTGGTGAGAGCAGTTGCTCTTAGGTTGCCGGTTTGCTTCCCGCATGGATGGTGGGCTGCACTACCCCGGCCCCCAAACAACTAGATTGAAAGCAGCAACTGAACTTCGAGCTGAACTGCGCCCTCCACAACTAAGATTGAAGGACAACAACTTGACTTGGAGCTGATGGGTCCTGGAAAAACACAATGCTCCCCTTCCTCAATTCCCCAACACTGTTCCCTTCCCCAATTCCCCAATAAAAATCTTTAAAAAAAAAAAAAAAAGAAGTGATGGCTGAGAACTTCCCAAATCTGGGGAGAGATGTGGGTATCCAAGATCATGAAGCTTATATGTCACCAAACTCAACTTAAAGAGATCCTCTCCAAGACACGTTATAATAAAACTGTCAAAAATCAAAGACAAAGAGGGAATCTTAAAAGCAGGAAGAGAAAAGAAGCTTGTAACTTACTAGGAACTTATAAGGCTATCAGCATATTTCTCAGCAGAAACCCTACCAGTGAGGAAAAAGTGGGATGGTATATTCAAAGTGCTTAAAGACAAAAACTGCCAACCAAGAGTTCTCTATCTGGCAAAATTATCCTTCAGAAATGAAAGCAAGATAAAGAATTTCCCAGAAAAACAAAAGCTAAGGGAGTTCATCACCACTAGATCTGCCTTACAAGAAATACTGAAAGGTGTTCTTCAAGCTGAAATGAAAGGATGCTAATTAGCAACAGGAAAACATATGAAAATATATAACTTGCTAGTAAAGGTAAGTACACATACAAATTCAGAATACTGTAATGTGGTGTGTTAACCACTTAACTCTAGTATAAAGGATAAAAGAC